TGTGCAAGTTTATTGCCAAATAAAGGGCTCAGACATGAGCTACTTTCCCCCTTCGTCAAGACCACATACACAGTTTAAACAAAACTAAAGTAACTGCTGCCTGATTCAGTTCTTTGTTGTGACTGGGCATTGTAGGAAGTTGGCTTCTAAAACCTCTTGGCTTATTTGAATTAGTCCTGCCCTTTTGTTTCTTGAGCAAGAAATGAAGAAGTTAAGATTGGTCTTAGTGTTTAAGTGAAGACGCTCAGATCCAACTCTGATCTTGCTCTAAACATCAAGCATAAAATAAGGTAGTAGAAGTTTTGTAATTATCAGTCCATAATACCTTTTGTGTCTGAATTGCCCATTTTTAGGTTTCCCAAATGTGGGTAAAAGCAGCATTATTAATAGCTTAAAACAAGAACGGACATGCAGTGTTGGTGTGTCCATGGGGCTTACAAGGTAAGTTGAGCTGTTCCGTAATCAGAATATTTCATTATAGACGCGTATGTTGTTGTTAGGCGCCATCGAGTCGGTTCCGGCTCATTGCGGCCCCATGTACGAGAGAACGAACGAAACACTGCCCAGTCTTGTGCCATTCTCACAATTATGCTGGAGCCCATTGTTGCAGCCACTGTGTCAATCCAACTTGTTTAGGGTCTTCCTCTTTTTCACTGACCCTCTACCAAGGATGATGTCCTTCTCCAGGGATTGATCCCTCTTGATAAAATGTGCAAAGTATGTGAGACGAAGTCTGACCATCCTTGCTGTTAAGGAGCATTCTGGCTGTACTTCCAAGACAGATTTGTTCATTCTTCTGGCAGTCCATGGTATATTCCGTGTTCTTCCCCAACAAGGGCATCAGTTCTTCTTGAGTCTTCCTTACTCGTTGTCCAGCTTCCACATGCAAGGTGATTGAAAACACTATGGCTTGGGTCAGGCGCATTTTAGTCCTTAAAGTGACATCTTTGCTTAACACTTGAAAGAGATCTTTTGCAGCAGATTTGCCTAATGCAATGCATCTTTGATTTCCTGACTGCTGCTTCCATGGGTGTTGATTGTGGATCCAAGTAAAATGAAATCCCTTACAACTTCAGTCTTTTTTCTGTTTACCATGATGTTGCTTATTGGCCCAGTTATGAGGACTTTTGTTTTTTTTATGGTGAGGTGTAATCCATACTGAAGGCTGTGGTCTGAGTATATATGACTTTATTTTAGCTATCTTGAGGAAGACAATTATCTTTTTGAATTCTCTTCTTAAAACTGCCAATGAAAGGAAGGGAGTTAGGCCCAAGCTAGACTTGGGGAAGAACTAGTTGGAGTGGGACAGCTGCCTGCAATCTAGTTTGAAAGACAGATAAGCAGATTCAGAGAGAGGTATGCTGCCTCAGAGGAAGTGATGTTTGAACCTAGTCTTGAGAAATGAAAAGTTTGCCAGGTGGGAGAGGGAAAAATCTATATGGCAGAGGGACAGAATGTGTTCAGGTGATATTTAAGCTATAACTTGGAGTGCTTCTGTTTAGAAAGGGAGGGTGCACTGTCTGGGTTTCAGACAAACATGAAGCAAATGATGAGGAACTGGATCTGACTGACTGTGCTGAGTTTGTTCAATCCAACCCTGAGCTTCGTGTTCTGCCTTTTGCCATCTAAATTAAACCAGTGCCCCCTTTGAGTAGCATCTTTCTTCTAGGAACATGCAGGTTGTTCCCCTGGACAAACAGATCACAATCATAGACAGTCCCAGCATCATCGTGTCTCCACTTAACTCAGCCACTGCACTTGCTATGAGAAGTCCCGCAAGTATTGAAGTCGTAAAACCAGTGGAGGCTGCCAGTGCCATCCTGTCCCAGGCAGATGCTCGACAGGTAAAGGAACTCTTCCTCAGGCTCCTCGCTGCCTTTTTATTTGATCATAAGCGTTTTTAAAAAGACTTCTTGACCAAAAGGGGGGAGGGGGAGAGGACTTTTAAATTTCAGAATATAATTTTGAGATTTGGTGCCTGACTCTTTAAAGTTCAAGATGTTTGGTCCTGCTTGGATTTCACCATAATCACCGTATTTTTTTTTTGTGCAGTCATCACTACAGGAAGTTTTAGAGCATTTTCATCACTCCAGAAAGAAGTCTGTCTCTCAGCCCCTGACAACCACAGATAAATCCTGTCTCTTCAGGTTTATCTTTGTTAAATAGGTCATATGAATGGCATCATATAAGGAGTCCTTTGTGACTGACTTATTTCACTCAACATGTTTTCGAGGTTCATCCATGTTGTACCATGTATCGGTACACATCATTCCTTTTTATGGCCAAATAATATTCTGTTGTATATACGTACCACGTTTATTTATCCATTCATCAGTTGATGGACGTTTGGGCTGTCTCTGTTTTCTTAGCTATTTTGAAAAATGCATTGATAGACAGGTTTCTGTGTGAACATACTTCATTTCTCATAGGTATATATACTTAGGAGTATAATTGCCAGCTTGTGTGTTAATTTTATGTTTAACATTTTGAGGAACTGCCAAGCTTTTCTAGAGGCTGTACCATTTTACATTTCTACCAGCAGCGCGTCAGGGTTCCAACTACCTAGATCTTTGCCAACACTAGTTACTAACTTTATTATAGCCATTCTAGTGGATGTGAAGTGGTGTCTGGTTTTTTTCATTTCCCTAATGACTAATGAGGAGCCCTGGTGGCACAGTAGTTGAAGCGCTCGGCTGCTAACTGAATGAATGGTCAGCAGTTTGAACCTACCAGCCTGCTTTGGGAGAAAGATGTGGCAGTCTGCTTCCATAAAGATTATAGCCTTGGAAACCCTACAGGGCAGTTCTGCTTTCTCCTATAGGGTCACTATGAGTCAGTCGACTCAACAGCAGTGGGTTTGGTGTTTTTTGGTAATGGCTAGTGATGTTGAGTATCTTGTGCTTATTGGTCATGTGTATATCTTTGGAGAAATGTTTATTCAGGTCATTTGCCCATTTTTGTTGAGTTGTAAGAGTTTATATATGCTACATACAAGCCCATTATCAGACATGATTTTCAAGTATTTTCCTCTGTGGGTTATTTTTTCACTTTGATGGTGTCCTCTGATGCACAGATTTTCATTTTGGTGTTCAATTTACCTTTTTCCTTTTGTTACTTGTGCTTTTGGTGTCATTGTCTAAAGAATCATTGACTAATTCAAGGTGATGAAGATTTATGCCTGTTCTAAGAGTTTGTAGTTTTAGCTCTTAACAGTTAGGTCTGTGATGCACTTTGAGTTAATTTTTGTGTATGGTATGAGGACGGGGCTCCAACTTCATTCTTTTGCATGGGGAGATCAGTAGTCCTAGAACCATTGCTTGAAGACTGTTCTTTCTCCATGTCAAAAATCAGTTGACCATAAATGTAAGGGTTTATTTCTGAACACTCAAATTTCTTCCATTGATCTATATGTCTGTCTTTGGGCCAGCACCTCTCTCTCTCGATTATTATAATCTGTTTCTTTTAAGTAGAAAGTTCTCAATTTTTTGTTTACATCTGCACCTGTAGCAGATGAATGACAGTTCCTAGTTTTCTTTTTTCAAGGTAGTATTGAAATTTACTGTCCCAGAATATAAGAATCCTCTGGAATTTTTTACTTCGCTTGCTCAAAGAAGAGGACTGCACCAAAAAGGTGGAAGCCCAAATGTGGAAGGTGCTGCCAAACTGCTGTGGTCTGAGTGGACAGGGTAAGGCTTCTTTCTGTTGGAGTTTTGATGCTCACGTAGAGGAAAGGGACTGTTTTTTGACAAATTTTGTTTTTAATACCAGTGCCACCTTAGGTTATTATTGCCAGCCCCCAACATCCTGGACTTGTTCTTCACATTTTAATGAGAGTGTAGTGGCAGATATGAAATTGGGCTTTAATATGGAAGAACTGGAAAAGAACAATGCACACAGCATGCAGGGTGAGTGAGACTTGTTCCACTGCTGTCTCCATTGGCCAACAGCAGTAAAGGTCTCATCTGTTCACTTGGCTGTGTTCCCTTCCTAGCCATCAGGGGCTCACGTTTAGCCAGTAGCGTGCTTTTCCAGTCTTCGGGTCTAACAAATGGAATCATAGAGGAAGCGGACATACCTGAGGAATTGACAAAACAGAAGGAGAGGCAGCAGGAGGAGAACGTTGACAGTGACCAGGAAAGTGTTGGTGGTGAAGAAGCTGATGTAAGTGTGTTCTCCACGAGTTGTTTAAAGCTGAAGTGAGTTTTCAGAGGTTACAATGTACAACAAATGGGAAGGGGCTAAACATGGAAATTATTTTACAGTAGACTAGAAGCCCTATATAGTGTAGGATTGCGATCCTTAGTCTTAATTTTACACATTCCATTACATGTACTGTCAAAGAACTCTTTCCAGGTACATAATTACTTGGTTTAATGAGCAGACAAGGGCTATTAACGCAGTAATGGATGTTTCTGTTTTACAGGAAAAGAGCTCAGACATGTCTCCGGTCGAAGAGACATGGCAGGCACTTCCTGAGGAGTCTCAAGCAGGTGAGTCTGGGGTAGATGAGTTCTAACAAAACAGCCTCACAAAGAATCACTTTCACTTTTCAAACACAACAAACCCTTGTTTTTTTTCAATACAGGTGAACAGTTCGGCAGTCAAGAAGCAAGATCTTTTGTCTTAGATAAAACGACCAAAGAGGAGGATGATGCTTATGACTTCAGTACAGACTATGTATAACAAAACACTGTCCTTTAAGAGGGGCTTTTCTTAGCATTTTGAGTAGACCGCTAAACTCTTCCACTGTTTGTAACATAACATACATTATGCCATAAAACTGTAAATTTTGTGAATATGTATCATACGATAAACTCATTAAAAAGAGTGAGGCAATTTAGAAGGCATCTGAATTCTTTAAAACGACTCATCTCTTACAATACAGTAAGTGGGCAGAAGTACAATTACTAAACCAAGAAACATCTTGAAAAAAACGTAGGTTTCACTTTATTTAGGATCAGGCCACAAGTTACAAAATTATAAAACCAAAGAACAATTTTAAACTAGCTGTACCAGATGAACCTTTGTTCGTTCAGTATCATGGTAAGAAAACACTTGGTAAGGCAGATGGAGACAACAGACTATAAACATGCCAGGCTTATACAAGGCAGTTTGTTGGTTGTCTTTACCCAGCTGAGATGTCCCTTTTTCTCCACGGCTTACTACAGATGGGCATTGAAGCCTAGCAGCTGTGTTACTTCTCACACATACTGTCTTCCACGATATCCTGAGAAATGCTTACAGTTTAAAATTTCTATTTTAATTTATATTTGAGATTTCCACATGTCTTCGGATTAGGCTGAATTTGCCTGTTGGATCTGGAATATACCATTTTTCCCAAACATCAATATATGAGGCAGTTCTTCCCCATGGCTTAAAGTGCCCGTTCCAGTGGAGTAACTTGGCAGCCTTTACAAATTGAGGTGAATATCGTTTTCCAGCACTGGAGCCTTACATTGAGAGAAAAAGACTTAAATGATTGTACCAGTCACACATAAGGCAAGGCCAAACCAGATTGTGCAGAAATAATGGATATATCCCATCCCTGAACTAGTCCTTTAGACACAGTTATAAAATAATTTCTACTTACCAAGGTGGCGGACATTCCACATAGGATCAATAGTGGAGTGCTGCTGGTAAAATACTATCAACAGAGGAGGTGTTGTGATGCTGCCAGCCAGGGTTCTGCTGTACAATCCCTCTCTTGGGACAGACAACAATGTATGCTATTAGTTAAGACCCCTGACAAAGTTCTGAGGGTTGAAAGATTTCACACCTAGGCCAGTTATGTACTTACTCTACATTGAGTTTCATCCATTTTTCCAGCTGGTTTGTTATATTCTGTCGTTTCCATTCTGTCAGATTTGCAACAAAAACTCCAGGATTAAATGAGCAGGTACTGGCTTTCATGGAAAGTTTACGAATCCTTTCCTTTTTATAATCAAGGTATCCAATGTAATTGTACTAAAAGCATAAACAGAATGGATACGATTCTATAGCTAAACTGCTGCTTGTTAATACTGCCTAGACTTCTCAAATTATTAACAAAGGCCTATACAAAAAGCAAATGAAAATGACATTCAAGTTCGGAGAAAAGGAACCTAGATTTCAACATCTTAAGCCAAGAATTAAGTCCACGAACTAGGGAAAGCAGGCTTGCATTTTGGGATAAAATAACTAGGGGATGTGAAAGGCAAGAAAAACGTACTCGTTTTCCTGAATTTCTCACCTCTTCCTCCTAACCTGTATTATGGGGAGTGAGGTGTCTGTGCAAGGGATCTAATAAGTAATTTACCTGATTTCCTGCTCCACGGATGACAACTTTAGTAGAGGTGGAATCACAATCTTCTGAAAATGCAGCTGCATGTCCTGGCTTTAGTGGTGTATTATACAGGGCAAGGATATCACCTAAAATAAATAAGGTGTGATTCCAGTTGCCTAAAGATTACCTGTCCTCCCATTTCTCCCTACAGAGACCTTTTATAGAACACCGTAACTAAGACAATCACTAAAGCTCATGCTTTGGACTCAGAACAGCACTGATGGTGGTGTTCTTTGGTACCTTGCACAATTACATCATCATCCATATATATGGCCTTCTTCGCACTGGGGACCAGAATTGGCAAGTAGAACCTTGCGAAGATTAACTGTAAACGAGGAAACAGGCATTGGATAGGATAGGTCAGTGGCTATGCTTTTATTTACATAGAAACTTCCAGAATGCTCTCAGAACCCATGCAGGAAAAGATGGCCAAAGGACTCCTAATTAGAATCGCCCAGGCTTGGTTCCCAGGGAACTACTTGCACTGTGCCCACAGTTTCCCAGGTCTTCTAATCATTTCCTAATAATTCTCCCAAGTACAAACAAGGATGCATGGAACTCACTGGTTTTACAGAATCCCCCTGGTCAGGATCCTCCTTTACTTTCCCTTCCAAAAGTTTAGTGTCAAAATTCACTATTTTGTACCTGATGTTTTTCAGTGAACCACTGTTGAGCCAGGACCTGATGAAGAAAGCACAAAGTTTCAGTTTTAAATAATCATGTCCCAAAACCACAGCCTTATCTTTCTGCCTTCTAATGAGGGCACAGTGTAAGAGAAACCCTAGGGACAAAGAGAACTCAGAGCCAGTGTCTTCAAACCCCTCACCTCTCAGCCTTGGTCTCATTTGAAGTGGTGTTCCCACTCAAGTCCCTCCCTGAACTAAGATTCTCTAGTATTGCATGCTGCTCACATCAGCCTCACACTTAGACGATCACTCTTCCAAAACAAACTGCTGTAGAAAAATTCATTATGCGGGACCATTCAACTCTTGTCCCTCCAAATACACTTCAGTAGAAAATGAATCTCCAATTATCAAAAAGCTACTAACTAAATCTGGGCTTCAAATTAGATCTTCCCAGTTTAGTCATGGCCGAGGAAATGAAACCGAACAGATGTGAATTTTAAAAATTTGGGTGAACTGGAATGGGAAAAATTGCAGGTCAAAGCCCAGCTAGAAACCTAATCTCCCTCTTAGAAAACAAGGGCAGTGTACGCATTAGATGGCAACCAAATCTCTTGCCCATTGGATTTTGAGCAGAGTTGGAATTAGCTGTGCTCCGCTCAAAGATGGCGGCAGACCATGTTGCTTTGAATGTGTGCCGCTCTCAACAGTCCTGCCAATAATCCAATCTCACACATAAGGCTCCTGGAAGGGCTCACTATGCCTATTCCAAGTCTCCTATTCCAGGGCTTCGACCTGTAACTTTCCATTCCAGTTATTCTGGATCAACCAAACTGTAAAAATTCAGGTCGGTTCCGGTTTTGCTTCATCAGCTATGACCGAACTGGTTTGAAACCCTGCTATAAATTAACTTCTGGAACTGCCCATAAGCATGCCAGTGTTCCCTAAAGAATTACTGCACATTCTTCCTAGGTCCATTTCAAATTAGCATTTTGTGAACACAATGTTATTTCTGCAGTCTTATTCTAATGCAGTATTTGTTTCTATATTATTTTAGATTGGTTCTGAGTTTTTAAATTACGAAAAACAATTCATAATAACTTTCACGAACTGAAAGTACTGCCCTCTCTACCACGGAGAAAGCCACAAGGCCAGAAATATTTTAGAACATTGACAACCCTTAACCCTTATTCCAAAGCATTTTCAAAACATGGATGAGACTGTCCATCAAATTGGGTTTCTATTACTAATCACAACAACAATAGTAAAGACCATGTATTGCTAGTATCTCATTTATTTAATACAAAATCCTCTAAATTGGGTATTTTCGCCCCATATTTATAGATTGATGAATGGACTCCAAGGGATTAGGTAATGTTTCCCAAATCAGTCAGTTTATGGGTCAGGATTTTCATCAGGTCTGTATTCACAACTTTACCAACCACACTGCCTTGCCATTCCTCCCAAGTCCCTTACCACTCTAGGCCATAAAATAGAACAGGAATAAAAAACACTCAAAGAATATATCTATGAGATAAGGAGCTTGTGCGAGAATGTAAATCAACCTAGTGCCTCCTTCACTGAGAAAGTCTTAGTACTAAAATAATATAAGCTGGAGTTCAACAGTGTGCATAGTGCATAGTTGACTGATATTCTGAAACAAGCTCCTTATATTATTTCTACTATCGTGGGACATGCTTATGATACAAGTACATGGAAAAACCATGTCATATGTACAGTTTATATGTGGTATAATCTCAATTACATAGAAAAAATAGTTCCTGGATTGGCACCTGCACTGCTTTAGAGTATCTTCTAGAAGCAGAATTATCAGGCAAGCCGAGCTCACCGGAGATGGTCCACTGTATCGTTGAGTGTAACAATGTAGAAAATCACATTGGAGCGAGTGTGATGCTGAATGCTGTTTATGGCTGCAATGGCCCCCCCGAGCCTGTCTTCAGATGCAGCAATGACCACAGGAATCTCCTCATGACTCCCATCTACTGCATGTCGGGGAGCATTTGGGATAAAGTCTATGGGTTGAAGCCCCACAATTCCTGAATCTGAAGAACACATACAAAGAAAGCAATGAAACAAAGACAATCTGATGAGCTTCTGACACATAGCCCAAGACATGAAAAGAGGTAAGGTGGGGATTACGGTACAGATTTACCTCATTCTTTCCCATTAGAAAATGAAACATAGAGCCCACAAACTGTCAGTTTTGCTATATGTAACTAAGCTTTTGGAAAAATGGAAAAAGCGTTTTAAAAAATATGGTGACAGCACTCTGATACACTACTGGCGGGAGTGTAACAGAACATTTCTGGAATGTATTTGGCCATTTGTATCAAGTGCCTTAAACAAGTACATGACCTTTGATCCAATAATTCCTCTTGTTGCCTCTCTTAAGGTCAAAATCTGAAATGTAGTCAAAACTCACGTTTTTATTTATAATTGTGAAAACGTGGAAACAGACAAAATTAGTGTTTTTCAAACCACAAATCATGTCCCATAAGTAGGCATGAAATCAATTTAGTGGGTTACAACCAGAATCTGAACAGAAAACGTTTCTAGACTAGACAAGAAAATCAGAATAGACAAGAAAGAGAGCGCACCGCACACTGTGAGTGCGAGGATTGTTCTTTCTGCCTTTTATAATACATTCATTCGTTCTTTTACTCATTCATTCAACACTGAGTACCTATTATGTGCCAGGCACTACTATAGGCACAAGGGTTATAACCATAATAAAAGACACAAATCCCTACCATCATGGAGGACAGACAGACAATAAGCAAACACAGATGTATGTGCTGTATATTATGCATTTCTTATTGTGGCATCACCATCAAAAAATTTTGAAAGTCATTGTACTAAAAGCCTTTTTCCTGTGGAAACCACTAAGTAAACTGTGGCATTAAAATTATACATAAGGAGTTTCTACTATCATGATGACATACTTATGACATAATCTTGTAGAAAACCATGTTATAGAAAAAATAGGGGGAGAAAAAGACTAGAAGAGACTAAACCAAAATTTTACTAACAGTTACCTCTAGGTAATGAAATCATTCATTGAACTAATATTTTTTGAGTACCTTCTATGTACTAGCCACCAGTCTTAGGCACAAAATAAAGCAAAAATGAACAAAACACTCCTCATGGAGCTTAAATGTTTTAAATTTTTTTTTTAATTTATACATTTTTCCACCAGTGGTATGCATTAGTTTACATAACATGTATACACACATGTATTATTATAAAACATGCTACCAGGACACTCAGTGACAGCCGGGGGAAGGCTTTTCCTTCTCTGGCCAACTATGGTGGATGGCAATCCAGAAATGATTTCTGACAAACTCCCTGCAGCCTCAAACATTCCAATACCAAGGCAGAGCAGTACCAACAACTAAAATAACTGGTGATGGAATTATACAATTTTTTTGAACAGTTGATAAGCATTTATAGTTTTTTTTTACTACTAGAGTCCCACTGATGTGGTTCCACAGGTAAAGGAAAGTAACTAGACTACCACTCTAGTGAAAGAACAGGCATCAAACAGCAGCCACACACGCCTGCCCCCACCTACATATATAAAGCCCTGTGAGGAGGACAGCTCTGTGAGGAGACAGCAGCCCACGGGGACTCCTCTGTGGCCTCTGAATTGGGAAGGAATCTCCCATCAGATCTAACAACTGCACAACAGGGAGAAGAAAAGCGGTGGGCACCTCAAAAAGCACAGCAAGTCTGCACCATGCCTTTCCCAGAGTCTTTAACAGCTTTTGTAACAGCAAGAGGAAAACTTTTTTTCCTTTCATAGTGATGTATTTTAAGATGTAGGACACAGAGAATTCTAGCTCCTCAACAGATGCCAAGGCATTAGTAAGGGTTCCCATACCTGAAACCTCGTTCCTTAGCAAACTGCTCAGTCCAAGGAAGTTATGGTGCAAAACCAGTAAGAAGAGAGCAATAGCCAGGACCAGTATGATGATGTTCACTGAAACAGAGGGGAAAGCCGGCATTACATCTCTTTAGCTTTTTTTTTAATTGTTATAAAAATCATCTCTTTAGCTTTTGACCAGGTATAAAAACAACACAACTTGTAAAAAGAGCATACCTTTACGGAATGACATCTTTCTTTTCTGTCTTATGTAAGCATTAGTTATCAACCCTACAAAACAAAAACAAGCCCCTAAAGTTAGTAAGTACATGAGAATGGCCATCAAAATGCCTAAACATTTTAATTCAGGAAGAAAGAAGAAGTTCATAATGTATTTTCCGCCAGAAATTCGTTTTGAATTAAGTTTCCAAGAACCGAATTTGGGACCTGAATCCACAACTTTTTTTTAAAATAGTATTCATGATAACAGAATACTTCCAAATTACTTGGAGATACACATAGTCTTAGCTCTGTACAAGAACCCGCATATCATTCATTATATGCCATGAGAAGAAATGCAAAAGAAGGTCTACCAAGAGGAAAATCTGCGGTCAAACCACTATAGAGGTCCTTGAATGGTGCAAATAGTTTGCACTAGATTACTAACTGAAACGTTGGTGGTTTCAATCCACTCAGCAGTGCTATGAAAGAAAGACCTGGCTATTTACTTCTGTAAGACTACAGCCATTGAAAACCCTATGGAGTACAGTTCTACTCTGAAACACGTGGGGTCACCATGAGTCAGAATCAATGGCAACGGATTTTTTTGGTTTTAACCACTATAGCCACCACCTATCTATCCTATCTGTCAGTTTATCACACTGTGGTGGCGTGTGTGTTGCTATGATGCTAGAAACTCCACAACTAGTATTTCAAATACCAGAAGAGTCACCCATGGTGGACAGGTTTCAGCAGAGCTTCCAGACTAAGAAGAAAGGCCTGGTGATCTACTTCCAAAAATTAACCAAGAAAACCTAAGGATAACAACAAAACACTGTCTGATACAGTGCTGAAAGATGTCCCCATCTGGCTGGAAGGCACTCAAAATACAACTAGGGAAGAGCTGCCTCTTCAAAGTAGAGTCGATTTTAATGATACGGATGGAGTAAAGCCTTCAAGACCTTTATTTGCTGATATGGCATGACTCAAAATTAGAAGAAACAGCTGCAAACATCCATTAGTAATAAAAATGTGGAATGTATTAAGTATGAATCAAGGAAAATTTAAAGTCATGAAAAATGAAATGGAACACTTGAAGACTGATATCCTAGGCATCAGTGAACTAAAACAGTCATACTGGCATTTGAATCCAACAGTCACACTGTCTACTATACTGGGAACAACAAATTGAAGAGGAACAGTGTTACATTCATCGTTAGAAAGAACATTTTGAGATCAATTCTGAAGTACAACACTGTCAGTGATAGCCACATGCCTACAAGGAAGACCAATTAATACGATTATTAATCAAATTTACTCACCAACCACAAATGCCAAAGATGAAGACACTGAAGATTTTTATGACCTGCTACAGTCTGAAATTGATCAAAAATGTGCAATCAAGATGCATTGATAATCACTGGTGATTGGAATGCAAAAGTTGGAAACAAAGAAGGATCAGTAGTTGGAAAATATGGCCTTGGTGACAGAAACAACACTGGAAGATAGCATGATAGAATTCTGCCAAGACCAACAGCTTACTCACCAGGTGGAACAGGTTTAAAATTCTCACTAAGAATCCATATTTACGGGAGAAGTTGAAATTGGATAATTCCCAGAGACAATGGCCCTAGGTGGCCCTTGAAACCATAAATACTTTAGTTTACTCTGTAAAGGAATGTTTGCTTTGAGCATTGTGGTCTTTTCAAAAGAATTATGTAGTATGTGTGATTAAACTGACAATAGCAACTCAAAAGGTTAGATGAGAAGCTATACTTGAAGGCTGATCACTGATTTAACTTGTTTTTCAAGAAATGTTGTGTGGAATCCTGCATGTTTACAAGTTATTTTGTAACTTCTGTGTTTTATCCCAAAGACATTCAACTGTGTGGATCATAACAAAGAATGGGAATTCCAGAACACTGAATTATGTTTATGCAAACCTGCACATGGATCAAGAGGCAGTGGTTTAAACAGAACAAGCGGATACTGTGTGGTTCCATACTGGAAAAGGTGTGCGGCAGGGTTGTATCCTTTCACCTTACTTATTCAACCTGTATGCTGAGCAAATAATCCAAGAAGCTGGACGAAGAACGCGGCATCAGGACTGGAGAAAGACTCATGAACAACCTGTTATATGTAGATGACACAACCTTGCTTGCCGAAAATAAAGACAATCTGAAGCACTTACTAATGAAGGTCAAACACTACAGCTTTTAATATGAATTACACCTGAACATGAAGAAAATGAAAACCCTCACAACTGGACCAATAAGCATCATGATAAATGAGGATGAATTTACAGTTGT